CCCTGTGCCAGCAGGAGCCTGAAAAATGTGTCCTGGGTGCTCCTGGAGGAGGAGTGGCCACTCAGGGCCAGGACTTCGCTGGGTTTAAAATAAAACTGCAACCTTCTGTTCCAAGTAAAAGCAGGAGATAAATGTCATGGCACCCTTTCAAAATGGGTCAGTGGTGTTACCCATTTCAGTCTGCTGCTCAGCTGGGTGTGACTGGTCTGTGGTCAGACAAGTGAACCAGGAAAGCTACCCAGAATAGATCCTGGAGGTTCTCTCTCTCTCAGTTCCACTTGTGTTTCTCAACATGCCCTTCATTGAGCAGGAAGAGGGCTCAGACACTGATTGCTCGACCTTGGATTTATGCAGATATTTTCTGGAGTTCAGAGCACCATGAAATAGAGATTGGCAGCTCCTCCAGGGACACAGGGTGCTCCCTGTTGGCTCTTGCTGCTCTGCTGTGGTTTTACCCCGTGGTGTCTGGCATGTCTGGGCCCCAGCAGAGCCTCACTGGGTTTCTCTGGGTTTGCATCAGCCCAGCCCTAGTGGTTGTTGCCCTGTTAAGAAAGTGGCTGAGTTTTTACACCCAGACGGAGAATGGATGGGACAGGAAGCTCCACCCGTTCTCAGGGTGTAGCTCCCCGGTGAGAATGAGCAGCAGCCTGAGCAGAATGAGAGGACACTGTAAATTTACAGCCCAGTTTTTATTTTCTCTCCTCCCTGCTTTTCCAGCTGTGGGTTTTCCAGTGGAATTGTTTCTGATTTACACCTGCCTTTAAGATACAAAATGGAATTCTTTAGCCTCACAGTATCTTCCCAATTAATTTTCAAGAGGTTGGAATACAGATTTCTCTATGTTGGGATAACTCAGTACCTTTTGGACATTAAATCTTTACTTTCTAAAGATGCCACACAATGTGCCAGGATTCCTGCTGATCTGGAGCCCACATTTCCCATTCCTCTTCCAATGGAGCAGATGAGGCCAAGGGATGGATTCTCCAGTGAATGCAGCATAGAAGTGCAGTCACACCTGGCCTGGGAAGGGTGACCAGCTCAGATAAACCTGTGCCACTGCCCTATTTTACCAGATCTCTGTCTTTAATCAGGTGTTCAGATTTACTGCCCAACTCAGACCCATTTTGAGGTGATTTTATCAGCAGAGGGTAGATAAGGATTTGGAGCATGAGCTGATTTTTGAAGGTACATTTGCAAGCTAAAAATTCCACAGGTATGGAGGCCTCTGAAGTGTTTTCCACTTGCTGATGTTTTCATTCTTAACAAGGCAGAAGCAGCCCAGTTTTCAGTACCACATGTTGTGGGTTTGGGGCCAAGTAGCAAAGGATGAGGAGGGAGCAAACACCTTTACTCAGTCCAGGTCTGTGACACTGGGATACAGCAGGGGGGAAAAAAAGTGAATTATTCAGGAAATGTATTTTGGTAGATACTTGGGCACCAAGAATCATACCTGTGAGCACTCCCATTTCTTAAAATACATTAATTTTTTTCAGGGCTCATTTTCCATTGCATTTGTAGCAAAAAGTGTTGTTGAGGTGCCTGACTTGAAGCTACTGGTTCTCCTCCTGGTACCAAGCTCTGGGGAAGGTTTGTCTTCCTGAGAAGGAGAGGGTCAAAAATTATTTGCACTGGTTTGTTACTGTAATACTTAATTGAAGTAGAAAATTTGATCTGACATGTGAAATGTGGCCCTGGCTGGCCACAGGCCAAGCTGTGCTGCCTAATTTCGGTTTGCCTTAAAATGGCTGGTAGAGTTCACAGCCCCAAATTTCTCTTCGGAATGTACCTCTGAAATCTTCTTTTTAGTGACTTATAAATCTTTCTGTATCTATTTTTCCCTAAAATTTGCTTCAGAAACCAACAGAACCAAAGCTTAAGTAAATGTTTCATGTTAGCATTTCTGGGCCCACTTTGTATCCTGAAGTTTCTTCCATCTGTGGAGTGGAGAAAATGCTTATTAACAAGTGGTTGTGCCCAGCACAAAGCCCATTTGACAGCAGATTATTAGGTTGCTTCCAATGGAAATAAAAATTTATACAGGAATATAGGAATAAGGAAATACTTATTTCAGTCTTCTTGAGTTTTTGTTCAAGTGTTTCATAAATCATTTATGAAGATGGCAAAAAAGATGGGATTTTCAGTATTTCTTTTGCAACTTGGTGTGTGCTTCATTATTTGGCACAGAGAAAAAAATGAAATCAAATCATCCCCATTTGAAGCAGTACCAAGGTTTGCTGGCTGCTGTGGCTGGGCTTGAAGTGTCGGACTGGGGTATCTTGGTGCCCGGAATCTGTCCCGGGTGGGATGTAATGGCTGAGTCACATGGAGAGGAGATCTGGCACTCAGTATCTGTTTTGTTCTACCTCTGAATCTCTTCCTGTAGTAGAAACTACTGGAATTGTTTCATTTTTACATTGTTAAAGTGAAACTTAAATCCAAGGTGGGTTTTTCAAAGCATCTATCAAGAGGCAATTCCTGCCTCAACCAGCAGATGATCCATGTAGCCCAGATGGGATAGGGATGGGGAAATTGGAGGAGTCATCACAGCAAGGCCCAAACTACTCTCACAGTGGCCCTTGAGTCCTCTGAAGTGCTGTTCCATGTCAGGCACCTCTGGGCTGTCAGGAGCAGCCAGGGGTGGGAGATGAGACTTCAGATTAGAAAAACCTGTGGGGTCTGCTCAGCACCTCCTTCTCTGTCCCCTTCCATCCCTTTAGGGGCGGACAGCCCTGTTTTCCCCCATGTACATATCTCCTTTTCTGCTTTTTTCCAGCTGCACCCCATGTTTGCAGATCAGCACAGGCTTCTGGACATGGAAGTGAAGCAGCATTTCCCAGGTTTTGTGCTCAGACCCTCCTGGTCCTTGGGGTCAGCCTTGACTTGAAGGCAAAAGAAGGGGGACAGTGGAGAAAGCTGGAGATGATTCCTTTCAAAATGCAAATGAGATCATTCTGTGGAAACATCTCCCCCCAGCCTTTCTAGGATTGACCCCACTTCCCATTTCAGAGCTGGGTGTGCTCAGGGTCCCAGTCCTGCTCTGGCTCCATTCCTGGGGCCCAGCCCATTCCCACCCAGACAGAATGTTCAGGATGGATGGACAGACACGAGGAGGGACGGGTTCCATGCTGAGTCTTGCCACCTGTTGCCTTTTTCCTTCCAATCCCCCCTTCCTCCCCACCCTGCAGCCCGAGCTCCACTCCCCACGCAGCTCCCCATCCCCAGTGGATAGGGCTGGGATCAGGAGTCACTTGCCAAATGCCTTTCTCATGCTGTCACTAATTCTGCACAGGCACCATCTCTGAGAGCAAAACCAAATATTTTCCAGTGCATTCTCCTGTGTTTCCTACAGAAAGGCTCAGGAATGCCTTTTCCTAGTTGGGTCTGAGGGGAGGGCCTGTGCCATGGCCGGGCAGGAGGCAGCCCAGAGGAAGCCTGAAGCTGTGCCCAACGAATCATCTGCAAATCCTGTGGAGCTGGAATTTGGCACTGGCACGGGCTAATTTTGTCCTGGGGGTTGCACGCGCACACACCCCCCCCTCCCATGTCATCCTCCTTCATCTGCTACGGATGGAAAGCTGCCCTGAGCTCCACAGTGCCAGAGAATGTTGTTTTGAGCCCTCCAGGCTTGGCTTGGTGACGTTGCTGGGCACACTGGGCTGTCCGGGGCAGCGAGGGGGTGCTGCCAGATGGGCTGGCATGGGCTGGAGAATCATCTGCCCTGCTCCCACGGGAGCAGCAGGCTCTGCATGGACAGGAGGATGTAATTTCCTCCTAATCAAGGTGCTAACAGGGTGCAGTTAGAGAGCTCTTGGGTAGAGTCCTGAGAAGGGCATTTGGAGAGTTCTGCAGGTGCTTTTCAGGTGAATTTAAATCACTTGAATCACAGTGCTCAGGGTTCAGTATCACCTGGAGAAGCAGCTTCTGAGTTCCCAACTGAAGTTGCCTTGAAGGGACTCATTTTCAAAACACAGGACATTGTCAAATGAGATCCTTTCTGTCACTAGAAAGGACACCTGGGCTGGAGCATTTCAGGCTCACAGGATATTGCCATCCCTGGGTTTTCCAGACACACCTGGATGAACACTTGTTTGCCCACAAAAATCACAGTGAAGTGAAAGGATGAAACGAATGCAAATATGAGCAATTATTAATTACTGCAGTGTGGTTCTGCCACCCTTCTGGGAGCCAGTCTGGGAGAGAATGCAGAAGGGTGGAGAGTTCACAATTGCAAAAACACAGAAAAAGGTATAGAAATGGCGGTGGGATGTCTCTTTTGTTGTTTCATGATGCAGCACAAGGTCCAGAACCTTCTCCCTCCCTGCTGTGAGAGGTGTTTGTACTGGCAGGGTTTTAAGCTGGTATTCCCAGTGCACCAGTTAAACCAGTAGTTACCAATTTTTTTGCAAGCCACGCTGCGACTACAGGAATTTTATTCCTTCACAGTGTTGAAGGAAAGGGATTTTGCTTGCCAAAGGGCTTTCTTATGGTTGAGGATGATTTATGGGCCAAGCTGAGCCACTTGTGGAAAAGCAACTCTTGGCAGCACCCCCAGAATCCACTGCAGCTGTGGGGTAGTGAAGTCATCGGCATAACAACCACTGCAAACAGAATAACAAAGTCTGTTCTGTTCTCATTTAAAATAATCTTTCTAGTTCAGCAACCACATTAAACTTACCTTTCTGCACACAAAAATCATAAAAGGCCCATGGTTCTCTGCAGCTTGAAGTGAGTGTCTCCCTTTGATCACTCACTGCCCATCTCTCCTGCACCATGCACACTTGACCTGAGTGTCTCCCATCAAGGAGTGAAGTGTGTTATGTCACAGTCTGTGTCTGCCCTTTGTTTGCACTCCTTTGTTTGGCCTTACATTTGAAAAAGCAGAAAAACACCCTGAGTTTCTTCCTTTTAAATAATAAAATTTGCTTCTGCCTTATAACTTGTTTCTAAGCTGATTACAAAATGAGGAATTCTGACTTTGGTTTTTCCTGCCTTTGTTTCAGGTCTCTTCAGATCCTCCTGCTTCCAAAAAGCCCAAAATAGATGACTCTGCTTCCCAATCTCCAGCTTCTACTGAGAAGGAAAAACAGTCCAGTTGGTTACGGTCCTTATCCAGTTCATCTAATAAGGTGATTGTTAAGTATTTTGTAATCAAGAGAGATCAAATTGGCACAAAGCATCACACCATTGAAACCAGAGGAAAAAATGAGGGAAAGAAAATGCTCAGGGTTTCTAAATTAGTAACATTTCTATCCATTTTCCAGATCAGCATTAAGCTACACAGTCCCCCCAGATTCCTTGTCACCCTCCAGTGCTCATTGACCTGGATTGTGACAGGGAAGTAAGGAATTTCCTTGTGCCTTTAAGGTACAGTATTCCTGCAAAGCTCAGGAGCTGTTTGTGATCCCTACAAACTACACAGAGCTTGTTGCCCAACAAAACCCATGAGTGCAATTCCCCTCTGCAGTGGAACCTCTGAGCAAGGAGGTCGTGGCCAGTGGGGAGCAGCTGTGGGAATGACTGAGGGTGCCCTGGGAAGCCCCAGTTCCCCTCTGTGGGGATCAATGGTTTCAAAGGTTGTTGGAATCACTCATTTCCTTCCTGGTCCCCAGAGCATCGGCTGTGTCCATCCCCGGCAGCGCCTCTCCGCCTTCCGGCCCTGGTCCCCCGCAGTGTCTGCCAGTGAGAAGGAGCTCTCCAGCCACCTGCCTGCCCTGATTCGGGACAAGTAAGGACACAGGGGTGGGGACAGGGGGTTAGGGGTGGCAGGTGGCTCCAAGTTTGTCCCTGTGCTCAGTTAGAGCGTTCACAGCTGCAGAGGTTTAATTTGCAGAAAGTATACACAAAAAAATCGTTGCTGGTTTGTGCATGAGAGAGGGTTAATGGTGGCACCTGCCATAAAAGTGTCAGGTGGAGGCTGCTGTGAAGAGGTGGTTGGGGTGCAGTCATCAAAGACTTTGGGCTTTGCTGTTTAAAGGAAGACAGAGTCCTGGTCCCGGGACAGTGGCCAGGGAGTTGCACCCATTCCCAGGCGTACCTGCAGCAGCTCCTCGTTCCCAGCACAGCTCCATCCTCTCCCATCCCCACAGTGCTGGGGAGTCTGAAGGACAGCAGAGATTTCCCCAAACCCTCCGTGTGCCCTGACCCTGTGGGGTCCTGGCTCCAGAGCCTGTCAGACCCATCCAGACACCGAGGCCACACTCTGCTCTTAGAGAGGAGCAGCACTGAGCAAGTCACCCACAGCATGTGGGACCTTGCTGCCACACTGAGAACAGAAAGTATCAGGGCAGTTCGACATCCCTGTGCAAGACTAGAGCTGTGCAGTCTGAAAAACCTCCAAGCCAGATTTCTGCCTGAGGGTGAGGATTTCTTTGGAAAGTTTGACTTAAGTGACCAGGCGTTTTTAGGGAATATTATAGTAAACATATTGTACTGCCCTTATGAACAAGTTTCTTAGAAGCTGTGGGGATTGATTTAAAAGAAAGGAAAATAGAAGTGAAAAAGCCTATGAGCATATCCTAATTTTTAAACTAGGTAAGGAGAGAAGTGGTTTAAGTGCCCTAGGTATCCCTGTGAGAAACTTGGCTGATTTCAGTATTAGATAAAACCCACCTTCAACAGCTCCAGAAGAAATTTTAACTGATACCACATCATGTTGTAGATGCTGAATTGGAGTTGCAAAGTGTTTGCGGTTTGCAAAATTACGTGTATTCGATGTTATGTTATTGCTCCCCTTTAACACCAAGGTTTAACCAAAGCTTTGTTGGATGTTGCATCTGTGATTTTACACACAGACACTCAGGTGTGTGTCAGAATCACAGAGATAGAAGAAGATGCTTTTCCACTCTGTGATTTTCCTTAAGGAAGTGCTGTTTTAAGCTTTCAAAACATTTGTGGATAGACACAAGTCCAGCTGTGCAGCTGGGTAAAACAACAGTGCCATGAAGAGCAGGAGGAAACAGCTTTAGGACTTTTAGGGTCTGGGAGATCTCATCTCCTTAGTGCTCTTAGGTGGCGGTTGGGATGGGATCCCTGGGTTTAATGGGGGCAAAACACTAAATAGTCCCCATGGGCAGGTTCTCAGCTGGTGTAAATCAGTGGGATTCACTGTCATTCTTGTAAATGTTTGCAGTGTAAGGCTGGATTGGGAAGATCTCCAAAGCCAGGAATGTGACCATTTTCTCCTTCCTTTTGCCTCCCCTTTGAACCAGCTTTTACTCCTACAAGAGCTTTGAGAGTGCCGTGGCCCCCAACGTGGCCCTGGCCCCTCCAGCCCAACAGAAGATCGTGAGCAACCCTCCCTGTGCCACCGTGGTGTCCCGGAGCAGCGAATCCCTGGGCTCTGCCCAGCCAAGGAAGAGGAAACATGGCACAGAGCACACGGCTGTCCCTGAGGCTGCAGCCACCACGGCCACCGCCCCCGAGGAGGACAAGGAGTCAGAAGCAGAGATTGAAGTAGAAACCAGGGAAGAATGTAAGTGACACTTGTGGCTGCCTTTTTTTCAGTTTATTTGGGCTGGATTTTTTTTGCAGGAGTTTTTGTGCAGTTTCTGTGGGGTTTAAATGGAATTCTGGAAGCCCAGTGCCTTGGTGACATGAGTTGCAGGGTCACATTTCAAACAAATTGCAAGTCACTCCCGGAAGTCAAGGTTGCATTTTCATCATATTTCAAGTATCGAAGTATAAAATGAGTAGGTTTTTAATTTCCTTTCCTTTTTAAAATTGATTAAGTGTCTCTGTATAAAAGGGACAGCACATTTTGACCTGTATAATATATATATGATTTGTATATAATTATTTCTTAATTTTTGACATTTCAGAATTAATTTTCAATGTTTCTGTTTTCCAGTCACCTCTTCCTTATCCTCGCTCTCCTCCCCATCCTTCACCTCCTCCAGCTCTGCCAAGGACATGAGCTCCCCTGGGATGCAGCCCCCAGCCCCTGTCAACAGCTCCTATGAGGTGGCTGCACACCCTGACCCCCACAGCAGTGGGCTGGAGGCTGAGCTGGAGCACCTCAGGCAGGCCCTGGACAGTGGCCTGGACACAAAAGAAGCCAAAGAGAAGTTCCTGCACGAGGTGGTGAAGATGAGGGTGAAGCAGGAGGAGAAGCTGAATGCAGCACTGCAGGCCAAGCGCAGCCTGCACCAGGTAAGGCTGCCCTGCCCTGCCCACACCCTGCCAGGTACAACCCAGCTGGGAGCTCTGAAAAAAGAATTGCCTCATTTTTCCCAAATAGCAACAGCCTTTGCTGGGGCTCTGTTTGTAAATCCAGCCGGGAAACCAAAGCACAGGAACCAGTCCTACATTTTTAAGCTTGCCACCTGTTTTTCCTTGGGTTATAAATCCATGGTTACCAAAATCAACATTTTTCATTACTGAAAAAATCTAGTCCAGCAGTGTTTATTTTGTTTTCGTTTCACTGAATAGGAAACATTTCTGGAGGCTTTAGCTGGAGTTTCAAAGGCTCTGTGAGGGAGGGTGTTCCTGGGACCATGGCCACAGCTGAAGCAAGGGCTTTAACAGGCTTCACTGGGCAATACTGCTGAGCTTCAGTCAGGGAAAAGCAGCTCCTTATTTCTGGAAATCCTGGATCCATCCATTGTATCAAAGGTCAGGTAGGCCTGCAGGTCAGGACTGAGCACAGTGATGGGTGAACTGGCTTTTATTTGAGCTGGTGTGAAAAGAGTGCAGAGAAATAGAAGAGGGAGAAAATGTAGAAGATTTGTGTGTGCTTTTTGAATATTTGGTGTGGAGCTGTTCCCAAGGTGAGGCTGGAATCCATGGGATGGAGTAAACAAGAGCCTGGTTTGGTCAAGTATGGGACACAAAACCACCACTGATACTCCTTTTTTTTTAGTTATCCTGAGGAAATTGCTTCATTCCTTTGTGTTCCAGTAAATGTGTGTTTTATTTTATGTATTTAAAAGTAAACATTTATGTGTAATACCTAAATAGTGTGTACTTAAAGCAGGAATTACATGAAGCAATTGAGCGTTAATCAAGCCCTGTGTCAGGGGCAGGGGACTATGTCCAACTATCGTTTCTCTCATTTCTTCCCAGGTGTGGGCTCCCAGTTCCACACACAGAAGAGTTGTGTGCGTATTTCTAGGGGCTGTGTGTGTGTACTTCCAGAGGCTCTCTGTACTTCCCGGGGCTGTGTGTGTATTTCCAGAGCTAACAAAGGCCTGACTGGGAAGTGAGATTGTCAGAAGAGTGAATTTCCCATGACCCTGCAGTGTTACTTCACAGCAACTGAGGCTGGAGGGTTTGACTCAGACAGGGAGGAAATGCTGCTTCTGTGGGAAAAAATAGATCTTTAATTTCTAATTTAACTATTTAGGAAATGTGAGCCATAACTCTGTGCTTGCTGTGAACATGTTTTTAACAACTTAGGAGTTTCTTCCTTTGTATCTTGAAGATTCCTTATCATTATCACTTCATTTAATGTTCCCTCGTGGATCTGAGATTCCAAGGCAGCAGCTCCCAGCCTGGACAGGAGGAGGGGTAGTTCCCAGGGCAAATTATGGTTTCTATTCAGCTTCAGGTTTTAGCCTGGAGTTTTACAGCTCTTGTGACAGAGCAGTCCATGGGCTGTCTCATTGTCAGGAGTCTTGGGGCTCACCCAAGTCACCTACAGCACTCCAGAGCTAGAAAAGACACATTTTGTGTTCCGTCCTTTCCTTGAGTGAATATTTGGGGAGGTGAGGGTAGGGCTTGATAAAACAGAACTGATTTCTGATATCCTGTTGAGTTTTGCTGTACACAAAGGACACTCAGAACTGTACTTTCCACGTTCTGCATCTTCAGAGCCTTCAACTCCAGCCCAGGAACTGCAGTCGGGTGGTTTAGAACATGGAGCTGATGCTGGAGCTCTCTCCAACTGCAGTTCATCTTTATTCAGGCCCAGATGGTTGCAGCTATTCTGCTTGACAAAGCAAAATGGGGCTGCAGCGCTGAGCTTTTTGTTATCCTGGCCTTCAGGGTAGCTGGAGTGTAGGAACTCCACGGGATTTAAAGGGGAAGGGCTTGTGCAAAGTTCAGAGTGGGGTTTAGTTGTAGGCTGCCTTAACCACAACTAGCAGGAGGTGGGAATGTGGTTTGGATGTCTCCCCTTGCAGCTGTGCTTCTTTGCACTCACTCCTTACCTGCTTCTGTGTCCCAGGAGCTGGAGTTCCTGAGAGTGGCCAAGAAGGAGAAGCTGAGAGAAGCAACAGAGGCCAAGCGCAACCTGAGGAAAGAGATCGAGCGTCTGCGAGCCGAGAACGAGAAGAAGATGAAGGAGGCCAATGAGTCCCGAATCCGGCTGAAGAGGGAGCTGGAGCAGGCCCGGCAGATCCGTGTGTGCGACAAGGGCTGCGAGGCCGGCAGGCTCCGGGCCAAGTACTCAGCACAGGTGAGACCCATCAGGGGCTAGAGCAGTTCCTTGGCTCCCTTCCCCTGCCCAGCACCGCTCCCATCCCTGCTCCTGAGCTGGGAACCTGGCTGGGAGAGGCATCAACACAGAGCAGGGGCCAGCCAGGACTCCAAAAAATGGGGCCTGAATTTAAACTTATTGCAAGTACCTGCCACAAGGTGTGCAGGGCCTCCCATGTCAAAGGGAGCTCTCAAACATAGTCCTCAAAAGCTACTGGTTCCTATACTTTAATTTGTGTTATTTATATATACGTCCAATACTTTACACAGTTTAACATAGCCCTGAAAATCTCATGGCAAAGGGAGTTTCAGGGGTCCTGGAGCAGCCTGTTATGAGACTCAGGTGCTCCTGGAGGTGGGAGCTACAGGTCCCTGGTGTGGTGGCTTTAAGGGAGGAGGGGAAGAGCACTAGCAAAACTCACAGTCTCCAGAGCTCTGATAAGGGAAGGGGGAGTGGCTGCCTGCTCCTGCTGAGACATGTCTGGCCAGGAGCAGGAAATGATGTGGGGCTTCCTCTCGGCATCACAGGATGTCTCACTGATAAGGGGTGTCCAGACTAAACAGAGCCACTCCAGGGCTGCTGTGCTGGGCGTTCCCTGCAGAGCCCTGGGAGCAGCAGCAGAGCAGGTGAACACGGGTTGGGCTGGGCTTGGGGGCTCAAGTGTGTCCTGGGGTTACTGTGTGACACTGGGCATTTTCAGTCTCCTAATGCATTCCCTCCTTGGGAAGGAGTAGATGAGGTTTCCTAAGCTTAAAGGCTAAAAATCACCTCAAAAAGAGCTCAAGGAGCCAATTATGCCTCTTTTCTGAGGCCAGGCCTGGCAGGTTGGCAGTGTCCCGTGCAGCAGCCCCCTGTCGCGGTCACCCCTGAATCCCCAGAACTCTCTGAACAAAGGGTACATGTCAGCTCCTGTTTCATGGCTGGCACAGCTGGTAACAAAACTCTGGCAGAGTAACTCACTCCCAGGACTGAATTTTATAAGATATCATTATAACTTCAGTTCTTGAGAAATTTTAAAATCAAGCTTTATACATCCTTGTAGCTACAGCTTGGGGTGCAAGAGGAAGTTGGTCAGATACTATTTTTGAGGAAACCACAGTTCTCTAGACAGGCTCAGTCTGACAGAAACAATATCAGGCCAGGGTGGGAGAAGACAAGAGTCAGGGTAGAAATGCTTCTGTGTAGGCTTAATGTATTAGATACTTAATACCCATTGAGGAGCTGTGGTTTATGTCTTCCTTTTTTTGCCTTGATACTGAAATCCAAATATGGATGGGGAGGTTTACCTGCATTTTAGCCAAAGACATTGGAGGTTTCCTTTCCTTGTTAAATGGCAATCTTCGCTGACTGCTGACATTTCCTTTCTTGCTGGGTGTTGTTTCTCTGATATTTGCACCCTCCAGTCCTGGGGGCTTTCTCTGCCTTTTCTGTCTGCAAGTACCAAACAGGAGATCAGGGAGACTAAGGGCAGCTGCAGGTCCTGCTGGGAGCAGAGTGGGAACACTGAAAGGCTTTAATCAATCCATAGCTGGGGCAGGCCTGGCCAATCAGCAGCCAAGGATTTTTCTGGTCACTTCCATTAACAATCACTGTAAAAGAGCTGAAAGTGAATCCTCTGTGCCAACAGCTGGGGTTTGCTTTGCTGAGCTGCCATCACTGCCTAAAGAAATAACAGCCATGCTTGAAGAAGTGACCAGAGTTCTGTGACACTAAGGAATTCTTGAACTGTGTCTTAACTCTTCTGGTCTTCACCTTCCATGCTGGAGCTGGAGTCACTGGGAATGTTTGAGTTTCAGAGCTAAGTGGGCACTATACTGCAGTAGTGTATGGGGAAAAAGAAACAGGGAATTCCTTCCTTGCCTCAATCTTGATAATCCTATGCCTGGAGTGCACATTTTTTTGCTTCCCTGACCCTGTGCAAGGTCTGTGGGAAGGCACATGCTCTGCCCTACCCCATGTTCCACAACCCTGTGTGTCCTGTCCCTTCAGATCGAGGACCTACAGGTGAAGCTGCAGCATGCCGAGGCCGACCGGGAGCAGCTCCGTGCCGACCTCCTGCACGAGCGGGAGGCCCGGGAGCACCTGGAGAAGGTGGTCAAGGAACTTCAGGAGCAACTGTGGCCTAAAGCCAGCAGCCAGCCCAGCAGTGAGAGCACCTCGAGCCCCATGGAGAACTGACGCCTCATCCCCCAGCACAGGGAGAGGGAGAGAGTGGGACTGGAAGTGCATGTGTGAGTAGCGGTGTCCTGGCACACACTTTAGGAATATGGATTCAAAGTAGTTGGAAGGCAAATGTTACTCTCTAGAACAGAAGCACTGAATTCCGCCTCTTTTTTTCCCAATCCATATAGCACAACATCTTACTGTGCCTAGAAAACACAAAGCATTTGTAAACAAAATACTTTTAAGTCCACAGCAAATTTTCTACTGGCAAACTCCAAGCAAAGCAGCGTGGTCCAGCTAAACCCGGAGTCCAAGGCAAGCCCAGCAGTGGCTTTGTGTTCTCCTTCCTGCTGGAACATTTTGGAATTTAAAAACAAGTCAACTTTTCTTATAAGCTATTTAAAATAATTCATTACACAGACTTGGTATTAAAAAAAATTAACAAGATTTTTATAATGAACCTTTAAAAGCAAAACAAAAACAAAAAAAAAGAAAAAAATAAAAAACAAACCTTTGATGCACAATTTTTAATGACTTTATAGGCTTTGGGATTCTTTGTGCAGAAGCCCCTCTGTGGTGATGATGCCATCCATGTCAGGAGCAGTTTTCCAGCCATCTCAGAAGCCATCACAGTTCTATCCCATCACATAGGTGTAGGAGATGTTCAGAATGCTTTTCCAAGTTGATTTTTTTCCTTAGAATGAATTATGTCCATTTCCTGCCCTGGACACAGAAAGAATGGAAGTTGCAGGAGTGTGCAGGGGGTGAGGGGAGGAGAAGGGGTTGGATTGAGAGCCCCAGCCCAGCCCCACTTCTCCCCCTGTGTTCAGAGACTTCATCTAGGAACACTTCAGCCTTGGGAAAAGAAAGGAAGAAAGGAAGGAAATGGATGATCACTTGGTAGAGGAACAAGGCAGAGACATCTGTGTGTTGAAGTCATTCTGAAATCTTCAGCTTTCAGTTTCTGGAAAACTCATCTTGTTGCACCATCTTACCATGAATTCAGTATTTCCCTGCTTCCATTCTGAACTGTCAGTGAGGATTTCTGTGCCCAAGGAGAGTCCAACATCGCAGTGTCAGATACTACAGAACAGAAAACCAACACTTTTGCTGCTGTGAATAAGCCTACATCTGTTTTTAAAAAACTTTTTTGTTTTTAAAAAGAGAAATTACTTTAATTTTGGGATCCAAGCCACAGGCCCAGGATACAATGCAGCAAACCATCACTGCCTTGGGGGTGGTGCTGGGGTTTTATATATTTTTATTTTTTTTTAAACCTGCACTTTGTTAGAATCTTACTTTGCATTTTATTCCCTGTTTCTAAGATGTACATGTCAAACATTTGATATTCTGCCCTAACAGCTGTACAAACCATGAACCCAATCTGCCACCACTGACACCTCCCATCAGCATCTGTGTAAGCAAAGGAGGATCCTGCAGGTCCAGAATACCCACAGCAGGAATTGTCCCTGTGCTGCTGGTTCAGTTAGAACCTGGTTTTATGGCTGTGTATCTGACCTAAGCTAGGGAGCAGCAGACATGCTTCCGAAAGTGCTTAACAAATAAAGCTGGTGCTTTAATGATCGGGAGAAAAGTTAATTTTCACCCATAAACACTCACCTCTGACACACTCAAGTGAAAATGTGATCTGGGGCTGCAGATGTGCCTTCCAGCTCATTTTTCCTCTCAGCATCTTCTCTAGGCAATGCTGATGCTTTTTTACCTTAAAGAATAAAAAGAAAAAAAAAAAAAGAAAAAGGAAAAAAAAGAGAACCCCCTATGCATCATCATACCCAGAGTTATTTTAAAAGAAGAAACATATTTCCAGTAATCTTTATTTGCTTTTGGACATTAATGCAAACTATGTAAGCTTCAAAATTATTTCCCAGTAGACAGAAAGTGGCTTCCAATCCTAAAATTATGGTATTTACTTATAGTACATTAGAGAGATTTTTTTTTTTTTTTTTTTTTTAAACAAGAGCTATTTGCTTGAAACCATTATAGTAACCATTGTAGTAACTGTGAGTATTAACAAAGAAGTTCATATATATGTTTTAGGTACAAAAAAGAAGAAATCTGAAAGGAGTGGAATTACTGGGACAATGTAAAACTGTTGGGAGCAAGAAACAGTCACACCAAGTCAATGACCTGAACCTGTTTGTGGATACAGGGGTTGGCCCTTGTGTGTTTGGGATGCTGGAGACTGGCTCTAGGTGCAGATCTCCTTCTAAAGTGCAATGCAAAAGGAATTTTGATCGTGCTTGAGCAGGTTGTTTGTTGTTTGTTTTTTTTTTTTAATATGGGGTTTTATTTTCATTGTATGTTTTTTCTGCGATTATTAGTCATATGCATGGATTAAACTCTGCCATATAGTCATTAATGGGCATTATTACTGTCTTATGTAAAGGGGTTCTTTTGTTATGCAGTATGCAGAAAACTGTTCTCAGCCTTATGATTTCCAGATCTGTATTATCTACTTATTTCTTCAAGGGAAACTAAACAACTGTAGCTGTAGCTGATCTTTTTTGTGCATTTCTAGTGTCTTGTGCTCTGCTTTACTGCTGTGTTGGGAACCACACAGAGGAACAGACCCTGCTCCTGCGGTGGCTCATGGAAGCCCAGCTTTGGAAATTTTGCTTGTTTGGGTTTTTCCCCCTGATCTATGATCGTTTCTGTCCCTTTATAACCCCCCAAAAATAGCAACTTGTCCAGCTCTTTTCTCCCAGGAAAAGCCACTCACCCGAGCATACCAAGAGTTTTCTTTTTTGTGTCCAGGGAAATGCAGTCATTTCCCTGGGTATGAGGCTCCCATGCTCCTGAAGGAAGGAAATCTGCAGGATTTTCAAAGGAAAAAAGCAGAACAGTACAATAGTCAATCACCACCAAGCAGTCTCACCTGTGCCGCACAGGTTACATGTCACAGGGGCAGCACAGAATCTCCAAACCAGAATTACATCTGGGGCTTTGCTTTCTGCCCCACTCACAGTCACTCCAGGCAGGGCAATACTAGGATTTGGTCCTTGGGAGTGAAAGGCCATTTCTATCAATGAAGGTTTAAAAGCATGAAGATAAATAAGGTGCAAGAAGAGCAGGAACAAACATTCTCCAGCAGCAGCCACTGCCCAGGAGGGGCTCGCAGGGCTGGGTTTGGCTTAAACTACTGGGCATTTCCTAACCATGTTTAACAATCAGATTGTTCTTTCTGCAGAACAGATAAGTTGTTTCTGCGTGTAATTTAATTCAGAGTAATGACAAGTGTCTCTGTCCCAGCTCCAGAGGCTGATTCTCTCTGGGGGAGCTCTGCAGAGCAGGCCCCCTGTGTGAAGGTGCTCGAGACCAGGGAGCTCTGGGGTCATTCCAGTGTCTGCAACACCTCAGTAAAGCTGTGTGAGCCTGGTCCCATGGAATTCCTTCCTTCCTGCAGCCCCCACTCCCTGCTGCATTCCAGGGAGAGGGGCTGTGCCTCCATCTCCCCTTCCTCTGTGCTTTAGTTTCCTTTAAGAAGTTCCAAGGGAGAAGAGGTGTTTCGTACAGGCTGTTGACTCTCCCTGTACCTACAAATATATTACTACTTGTATAATTCAGTTTAATTACTCCTTGTTTCTATTACTGAACGAAGACTTAACGAAGGGAAAAAAAAAAACCAACAGCAATAACATTCATATCTATGGAGCAGCTAACTCTATACATAATATTCTGCTTTTCAAACAGAACTAGCCAATGTAAAAAAACATTAAAAGTAAATTCAACATGTAAATACTTTTTTTTCATTTTACACTGTTGTATTATAAGTGTATATGGTGTTTACTTTTTCAAAACTCTTTCTTACCTGGTAGTTGTCTTGTTTTATGAGTTGTGTTTTTAACTGAGAAGAACCTTTGCTGTCTGTTAGAAAAAAACAAAACAAAATCTTTTTGCAAGTTTTCAATGTGGGTTATAACTTTTTCTTCTCAATCATTTACATTTTATTTGTCCTTATTTTCACTGTAAAGTATTTTATTACCAAAAGGTTGGTTTTTGTTCCATTCTGCCCTCTGAGCAGTCCATGTGTTTTAGAGAGAAGTTTTTTGTTGGCTTGGTTGTTGTTTTGGTTTTTTGGTTTTGTTTTGGTTTTTTTTAAAATTGAAAGAACTCACAGAAATGACATTTTTTCAATTAAAGAAAAATAAATCTACATTTATAATAGCCAATAGCATTTCAGCACATTTTTGTTATCCTGGTCTCTCCTATGCTGCTGCTAATGACAATATTATGACTTACTCTACTATTCTAGAACTATTTTTATGTAAGTAATGTATGCTTTCTTGTTTATAAATGCCTGATTTAAAAAAAAAAAGAAAAAAGCTTGGCATATTTATCTATTTCGCTGTGTACCTTGATAGTCCTTTTCCACCCCCTTTTCCACATCCCCTCCCCCCTATTCAGATAATATTGTAAAATAAAGGACTTTATGAGATTATGTATGAAAATAGCTATGCTTATATACCACAGTGACTGAATGTACAGTGTATAGACGCATTACCGAAAATAAAATTGTTTGTCCAGAAAAAAATAAAGAGCTCTGGGATGTTTTTGGAGTTTTCTGTGCTTTGCTGAGGTGCTTCTCCCCCCTTCAATTTACCCCGGCCATGATCCCACAGCATCTGGTTCCTGTTTTCCTGGAGAGCCCAGGAAAAGGACTCTCCCGCAGGCATCGTTTAATACAAAGCCTCTGCAGGGCTGCACGGACACTCCTGGAAGGAGACTGGAATTTAATTGGGATCACTGCATTCCACTGCATGGGGAAATTCTAACACTCAAGTGAAATTTCTTTGGATTAGTAAGTATTGTAAGCATAGAGAAGTTTGTTCTAGGTCAAAGAAAAAGAAGCACAAGAGGGGAAAAGGCAAAAAGCAGCAGATGGAAACTTATGTCAGAATAATTCTCTCATGGTTTTCTGAGAAGTGGCTGCAGAATTTCCACAGCTATGGGACATTTCTGAAAAAAATTTTCTGTGTAAAGCAGTGGAAAAGCTGGAGAATGAACAAAGAGCTTAAAAAAAATAAATCTCTTCTTATTTGAGACTCGCACAGCTTTCTAAGGGGTGAGTTTGTGTCCTAAATGCAACTCCACATCCTTGGGGAGGGATCTCATGCCCCATATCCTGTCCACATCCCCGTCTTTCCAGCTGCACAACCTTACTATAACTCCAGGTCCTGAAATTAAAAGTTCAAATAACTTCCCTCCTGCTGTTCCTTCTCAGAGAAACTTGTCATGGTATTCCTGTTCCAAACTAAACAGCAAACTAGATTTGGATTGATAAGGCTTGGTATCAGAGGCTGAAAAAATTACATATTCTGTCTCCAAGGACCTCTGAGTGGAACAACACAGATTGGTAAAGCCTAGTCAAGCTGTCTTGTGTTTCTGGGTAAGGGGT